ACAGCAAATGTTGTAATACTGTATACAATACAATATTCCTACAGAGTTCATATATTGCCAGGTATTAAATAATATTTAATTCAATATTTCTGTATAAACTCTCACTCACGCATTTCTTCTGTTTTTTCACTATCTGGAACGAACGAGGACTTTTAGGGGTCTCGTACGAAGAAAGGTTCGATGGAAGCAGGAAGGGTGAACGAGCTGAAGACGCGAACGACGGTAGCTGGTATGACGAACCTGTAAATATTTTGGTTTAGAAGATCAGCACAGCTTAGTTCAACGGATTAAGGTTAAGCTCATCGTTACCGTAATCGCAAGATGTTGTCAGCGTGTCATTAGACATGGAGTTTTCGGCAGGATTCCCACTAGCTCCACTTAATTGAAACCGTATGTCCGCTTCAGATGGCAAGGACTGCAACAAATCATCTGCTGTACGGTATAATGATTTTCGGGCGCTATCGCAATATACGGGGGCATTGTAAAGGCAATGCATTTAAAATCGTGTAAACATGCCTTCTTTTGCTGAGGACGGGACCGAGCCTTGGACAGGGGAAAAGAGACTCCAACTGCGTGAGCCATTTTCATTTTCCTTGGAGCTCCTGCCCCTTCCTAGGTAGTTAATAGGATACCCTCGTATATTGCGATAGCGCAATTTTGCTGCTCGTGCCAGACACATGGGCCGTTTCACGATCAAGGCCTCCGCTTATCAACTAGCGTAACATCTCGGATTCATTCGCAAAAAGCAAGCCCTGCCTCAAAGACCTCGCCTGCTCCAGAGGGTAGGACCTTTTCGATTTATTGAGAGATATGGATGCGCTTGGGTCGTATAGCGATAGAATACCTTGTAGAATAAATGGTTTCCTTGGTGACAACCGAGGTTCCATTCAGGTGCTCAGTTATACTAGAGGTGAGCTACAAGCATGAGCTAACAAGCCTCAAGATGAAGGGCGGCTTCGACAGATTATTGGACAAGCCGGTCAGTTTCGGACACCAGAAACCTGGATGCATTTTATGCATAAGAGCTGAGGATAGCAACGGGTCAGTGCAGGATCAAGCATGGATGTCGCCGATATTAGGCACGCTCCGCGATCAGGCGGGCTCGCCTGTTCCATCCAGGGGGTAGTAGGCAGGTGGACAAGTGTTGATGTCGGGCCCCTTTTGCGGCTTGAAAGTACGCGACAAAGGCGCAAGGAGCTCGTCCAACCCGCAACTCACACCTTCGTCCGCAAGCCCCACCCTTCGCTGTCGGTTGCCACGTGGCGCTGCTTGAAAAGCGCGGGCGCATTTGAGGCAGTGGTCCCAGCGCGATCCAATGTTATTGACTGGAGCAAGTAGAGTTAGGTTCGTGAAACTCGTCCAATTCGCCTCTTCTAATGTGGCTGAAATAGGGGAGGTCTCTGTACGGGGCGTAATCGGTGGTTTCGTTTGCTTTCCTTCTCTTTTACAGACCACCTCCCACCTATAGCTTCATAACTGAACGCTTTTCCACACCTATTTTATCCCGAAATGTCTTTTCAAAACCTCCCCATTTTCTCTCCCCGCAATATCGCCTCCCAAAGTCTTCAAGCAGAGGCTGCAACCACCCCTCCCCCCTTCAAAGTTCCAAATTCTACTCCCGGCCGGTGTGGATTCTCAACGCACGACAACTATGGTCAGGAGGAATAGAAACTTGATGGGAAAACTGACGAAAGGTGTCGGTTTTGTCTTGCTCTCCTTCCTCATCGATCGCATCGACAGAGGTCCGCTGTGTTTACGAACTGCAGTGTTGCTGTTGGTGGACTTCTCTGAAAAATGCTCAGCTAATGATGGCAGACGGTGTTTGAGTTGATTTGTAAAGAACCGAACTAACCAAAACGGCTCTGTTCTGACAGTCGTTCTATTTCGTTGTACCCTTGATTGTAAATGCCCCGGTCGGCGTCCATTTTTTCGCTAGACGTGCTATCTTGAGATAAGTCGAAAGCCCCATTATATTGGCCTCCACTGGGCGGATACGGCTTGTCGTCCTGAAATATAAGTTCACTATCAGAACGACCTTTCATTCATTCACCTGCATGGAGCTGCACTAAACAATAAGCTGCTCGAGCAGTAAGGGCACAGCTCATAATTAGGTCACTCGAGTGAAGCACCAGCCCGAGGGAGGTAGATCTTGATGATTAGTACACCCTGCATACTTGGGCGATTTCCATACGCAAGGTATACCGAATGTGCCTCACAAAACTGCCAGGCAGGGGGCTAGTGCTTGACAATGCAAAAGCTCGACAGGAGGCCCGTCCCTCGACGAGAATGCAGAGATGCAAATGTCAGTGGACGAGTCGCAGCACGTATTGTGCGATGTGGAACCTACTATAGAGCACTCTATTTTTTTTTTTTTCACTTGATGCTGAATCGCCACAGTACGCGCTGCGACTCGACCGCTGGCTCGTTTAAGTATCTGCCTTCTTGCCGCGCAACAGGCCTCCTGCAGAATAGCCGCGAAAGGAGATGGGCCCGCTCTGGGAATGTAGTCATAAGCCGTTTCCACTCTCGATCGCGTACATGCTTTCTAGTCTGCGCTTCTTTTCTTTTCTAGTATACCTTATCTCGCTGTATGCCACTCAGAATCCTGCACCGTCTGGAGGAAGGAGAGTCCTATCAACGCTCTCGGTAGTTTTATTTTTCATTTTTCCATTACCAGTTCTTTTCGCACCACATTCTCGCTTTCTTCTAGCGAACCAACGATATCACTAAATCCTGGAATGTGCTTCAACAATCACTAGAACGCATTCTACAATTCTGAAAGGCGTAGCAAATTCTGAAAGACTACCCGCAATAGGAAGCATTACGGTATCTGATGGGAATGAAAAACATTTGCCTCATTAAATTCAATTTTGCTCATTGGATGAGGAGAGATTTCGTAGAAATCTGAGCTAATTCGGTGACGTCGATATGTTAATGTTGAAGAAACCGACTGACCTGAAACTCGATTTTATATCGCGAAGTTTCTCAAACATGCTGAGTATTTCCACAAACGATGGGCGTTGCTCGCTCTCGAATGTCCAACAGAGCTGCATTATTTTGAATCTGAAAGGTTTCTTCGGTTAAAACTAGGCATCTGAATAATGTATAAAGCAGACATGAGTTTTGTCACGGAGCTTCGGCTCCTCAGCGATTGACTAATGAACATGTGGTGACTGTCCTTCGGGGGGATTGCCATGAACTAACTATGCACACTTAGGCCGGAAAAAGGTGAGGTGTATTCCTATGTGGAAGCTCGACATGATTCCAGCAGCAAAAGAGCTTGCATCACGTGTTACCCTTTCCGTCTGTGCTGCTTTGGACTCTCTACCCCTTTCTTGGAATTTGAAGATAGCCTCGGCGTTCCAGATACGGTCGAGCAGTGTATCCACCCCTGAGGCCACACTATCTGAAGCTTCCCACGGAAAAATACGTTTGTTAAAGGAAGCGATCACGCTGGTCCTAGGTGAAGCTGCTTACTATGCGTAATCAAGTGATATGATCTCAAATAGATAATGGTTGGACGAGCGTAACCCAATGTTGATACAATAATATAGATACGGCTGTTTGGAATGAGACGCACTCGAGGATGAAAACTGTAGCTGCTAACCAGAAACGGGTTTTAGCGCTTATCACGGCGTTGATAGGGGGATCACCGTCCATGGAACGCACCTATTGTCTCATTGGGTAGGACCCCTACCCAATCCACTACGTATCTTCCCTTATAGTGCCCATAGGATTTATCGGGACCAAATCTTGCGAGTGAGGAAGTGTGATTGACTCCCCATTAAGTAGAAGAGCCCTTTGACAAAATAAAGTTGTGAAATACTCACAAGGGATCGGGACAATAGACCGGCTTAGGCTGGAGTGCCTCCGTTTCGGACATGAGTGAGCACCTAAAAAGAAAAACGCTAGGACGAATTCGAGCGAGGAAAAATAAATAAAAAGTAAGAAGCAAAATGAAAAGAAAATCAGATCAGAGATATTTCAGTTCCTTCATTTAAGCGTGGCCAAAATGGGTGCGACGCTCTTTCTCATGGATGGAAGCGGTGTAGTGGCAAGTGGCGCGCTTACCACGCGAGCGGTCCGGGGATCAAATCCTGGGTCGTGAGTCGCCCGGGCCAACCAAGCCTTCCATCCCTCCGGGGTCGGTTAATTGGTACCAGACTTGTCTGGGAGGATAAAAACACTGACTTGAAGTCGTTGACGACATCGTTTTGGCATTTTTGCCCGCGTGGGACAGGAGCGAGTTTGCAAGCGCGCCGTCCTCACCTTGATGCCGCTTATTTTTTGTTCAAAATCAAATCAAATCAAATACAAATATCTTGAAACTCACAGAGTTTTGTATTAACTGCTTCTACAATCTTTCATATGAATGTTTACGACAGTGAAAGGAATACTAGGAAAGAATTGAAATGAAAGTTTTGTGCGTTCAGAAAATCTTTGCTAAATCAAGGGATATTTGACCACTCTGGCTGCCATGTGGTTTATATTATTAGGTTGGCGGGAAAGTTTTGTCACATTTTTTATTAACAAGATCTGTTAATGTACAGAATCACACAAGGTTAAATATATCCACCATCGTTGTCGACTACTTCTTGCCAACGTTCAGGCAGCTTATAGATACCATCCCTCCAAAATGCAGGCTGGCGCGAGGCAAAATACGACGTCAACTCGGTCTCGACCTGAGCGCGAGTTCTGAAGCTTTTTCCATCTAAGTAACGAGATAGATCGGAGAACAACCAATAGTCGGAAGGAGCGATGTCTGGGCTATAAGGGGGATGAGGGAGTACGGTCCATCCATACTGCACGAGCTCCGACTTCACCTCTCTTGCAACGTGCGGTCTGGCATTGTCATGCTGGAAGTAGACTTTTCGAACTTTTCCTACCCTCTGATCGACAATTCGCTTCAAATCTCGGAGCTGCTGCGTGTAGAGATTTGCAGTGACAGTAACTCCCTCATCCAGCAGTTGCCAAAGTACTGGCCCATGTACATCCCACCAAATTGATAGCATAACCTTCTTGGGTGAACATCTTTGGGAACCTCTTTTGGTGTTTCTCCTGGACCGACCCACTGTGCTTTCCTGTGGAAATTGTTGTAGTAGATCCACTTTTCATCACCAGTGATGAGATGTTCCAGCCATCTATTTCCCTTGTGCAAATTGAGCAGAGTCAAGCAGGCGTCCACACGACGATCGCGATCGACGGGTTTGAGGTGGTGCGGAACATATCGTCCCAGCTTTTTCTTCATTCCCAATTTCTTTCTTCAGCCCAGATTCGATG